GGTCACAAGTGTCTGACTACCCCCCCCCCCCCCCAGGTGCATGACGTCATTTATGGACGGCCCCAAACCCCACCGCGTGCGTTCGGGGAGCGGCGGTGCAGCGGTTAGCGGCCAACACCGGTGACGATTTCCTGAACCGGCGTTGGGCTTCCCCAAGGTCGACTCGGCCTCAAATGATTTCCTTGGTGCGGCGTGTAAACTTCGCCACTGGGGAGACAAAGGCGGCCGGGCGTGCTGCTGGTCACCCCACCCCCATCGTGTGCAAACCGTGCCGGCCTTCATAGGTGCTCGCTAACAGCACTTGCCCCAAACAGTCCGTTAAGGCTACACGGGGGATCTTTGTCTTTGTTATTGCCCCCCCTCCTCCTCCCCTTTCCGAAAGGCAAAATCAACACGAACTGACCACGCCAAGCCTGCCACGTCATCGATCCCGGCCAGCCAGACAAACACGTGGAACAAACTCAGCGCTACCACCACTACCCTCCTCCCAACACCCACCCAACCCACCACCTCCAAACACGTAGAACACACTCAGCCCTGCCACCACTACCACCCTCCTCCTCCCACCATCTCCAAACACGTGGAACACACTCAGCCCTACCACCACTACCCTCCTCCCAACACCCACCCAACCCACCACCTCCAAACACGTAGAACACACTCAGCCCTGCCACCACTACCACCCTCCTCCTCCCACCATCTCCAAACACGTGGAACACACTCAGCCCTACCACCACTACCCTCCTCCCAACACCCACCCAACCCACCACCTCCAGACACGTGGAACACACTCAGCCCTACCACCACTACCACCACCCTCCTCCCAACACCCACCCAACCCACCACCTCCAAACACGTGGAACACACTCAGCCCTGCCACCACCACCCTCCTCCCAACACCCACCCAACCCACCACCTCCAAACACGTGGAACACACTCAGCCCTACCACCACCACCACCCTCCTCCCAACACCCACCCAACCCACCACCTCCAGACACGTGGAACACACTCAGCCCTACCACCACTACCCTCCTCCCAACACCCACCCAACCCACCACCTCCAAACACGTGGAACACACTCAGCCCTGCCACCACCACCCTCCTCTCAACACCCACCCAACCCACCACCTCCAAACACGTGGAACACACTCAGCCCTGCCACCACCACCCTCCTCTCAACACCCACCCAACCCACCACCTCCAGACACGTGGAACACACTCAGCCCTGCCACCACTACCCTCCTCCCAACACCCACCCAACCCACCACCTCCAAACACGTGGAACACACTCAGCCCTACCACCACCACCCTCCTCCCAACACCCACCCAACCCACCACCTCCAGACACGTGGAACACACTCAGCCCTACCACCACCACCACCCTCCTCCTCCCACCACCTCCAAACACGTGGAACACACTCAGCCCTACCACCACCACCACCCTCCTCCACCCAACACCCACCCAACCCATCACCTCCAAACACGTGGAACACACTCAGCCCTACCACTACCACCCTCCTCCCAACACCCACCCAACCCACCACCTCCAAACACGTGGAACACACTCAGCGCTACCACCACTACCACTACCCTCCTCCCAACACCCACCCAACCCACCACCTCCAAACACGTGGAACACACTCAGCCCTACCACTACCACCACCACCCACTCACCCAACCCATCACCACCTCCATTCCACTACGTTTCAGATCTTCTCCCGAGTCGCGATTGTATTCTTGAATCGATTCCGGTGGTTTTTCATGATGTCGTTGTTGTGGGATAATTGAGTACTAGAGGGACACTACTGTGTATACCGAGCGTACCTTGAAGCAAACATCTCATCTTGTCAGCAGGCTTGAGCCTGGATAGCGCTACTTAGGTTATTAATATTAAATGCTGCATATTGGCAGCAGAGAGCAGTGTGGTAAAAGCCATGTGTTGTACTGCATTGCACCTCTATGCTCCTACCCCACAAAGCATGATGACGTATGGCTAAACAACCCCCCCAAAAACATAGTTACAGAAGCCCTCGATTATTTCAATTAATCGACGAATCGTCGCATATCCGAGCAGGAGAAGCTGCTATAAATTAAACTCTTCCCCTCCCCCCCCCCTTGTTGACATGCCACGGGTGATGTAGGAGGCGTTGTGAAGTGAGACACCCCCACAGACCACACAGATCACTATTAGCAGTCATCGTGATGCCCATCATCAGCAGCAACATCATCATCAGCAACAAAGAAGCAAACGCAACCCACGCCAATCATTATCAGCAACCTAAGCATTGCAACAACGCCACCACCAGCATTGCCACACCACCTCCAGCAGCAGCAGCAACAACAACAGCAGCAGCTATAAACTACAGCACTGTACCAGCAGCAGTAGTATTGCTAAAACCAGCTGTGTAGTAAGCACAGCTGATAGCGTTACAAGCTGCAACCAAAACAACACAAACTCCTGTACAACCAAAACTAGTTACGGTATCAACAGCAGCACAATAACTCCCAACAACACCCACTCTGGAACCACGAATGATAACAGGACAATCGTTCACCAAGGAGGCAACCATTCCCACAGCAAGTGTGATTAGTAACAACAGCAGTGAACACTACCCAATGGCAAATACTGTACCAGCAGCATGGCAAATACTGTACCAGCATGGGTTACCATCTGCAGGGCCAACAGCACAACCACCAACATTATGAGCAATATGAACAGTGTAAGTAGTCATTAACGATAGGATAATCACTACCAACAGTAGCAATAACTGTATAACTACAATACCAACAACAGCACAATCATTCCCATCAATACTGTACAGTTACAGCAACGTTAACCACTTCCAATAACAGCTAAACTACATTACCAACAATAACACAACCACCAACCACCACAACAACAGCACAACCACCACCACCAACAGCACAACCACTCACAACAACAACACAACCACCACCAACAACAGCACAACCACTCACAACAACAACACAACCACCACCAACAACAGCACAACCACTCACAACAACAACACAACCACCAACCACCACAACAACAACACAACCACCACCACCAACAGCACAACCACTCACAACAACAACACAACCACCACCAACAACAGCACAACCACTCACAACAACAACACAACCACCACCAACAACAGCACAACCACTCACAACACAACCACTCACAACACAACCACTCACAACACAACCACTCACAACAGCACAACCACTCACAACACAACCACCAACCACTCACAACAGCACAACCACTCACAACACAACCACTCACAACAGCACAACCACTCCACCAACAGTACAACCACCAACAACACAACCACCACCAACAACAACACAACCACCAACCACTCACAACAACAGCACAACCACTCCACCAACAGCACAACCACCAACAACACAAACACCACCACCAACAACACAACCACCAACCACTCACAACAGCACAAACACCACAACAACAGCACAACCACTCCACCAACAACACAACCACTCACAACAACAACAACACAACCACCCACAAGTAAAGTGAATAACACCACTACTGTGGCAACTACGACTGTATGACTACAGTACCAACAACAGCAGCACTCACAACGCAATTCACAGCAGCGTTAACTGCTGTGTTAAAAACACAAACAACAGTTAAACCACTCCTAACAAACCATTACAGCCTAACAATAACCACTACAGTATTACAATAACCACTACAGTCGAACAATAACCACTACAGTCTAACAATAACCATTACAGTCTAACAATAACCACTACAGTATTACAATAACCACTACAGTATTACAATAATCACTACAGTCTAACAATAACCATTACAGTCTAAAAATAACCACTACAGTCTAACAATAACCATTACAGTCTAACAATAACCATTACAGTCTAACCATAACCATTACAGTATTACAATAACCATTACAGTCTAACTATAACCATTACAGTCTAACAATAACCACTACAGTCTAACAATAACCACTACAGTATTACAATAACCACTACAGTCTAACAATAACCACTACAGTATTACAATAACCACTACAGTCTAACAATAACCACTACAGTCTAACAATAACCACTACAGTCTAACAATAACCACTACAGTATTACAATAACCACTACAGTCTAACAATAACCACTACAAGAGTTAAACCACTCCCAACAAACCACTACAGTCTAACAATAACCACTACAGTATTACAATAACCACTACAGTCTAACTATAACCATTACAGTCTAACAATAACCACTACAGTCTAACAATAACCACTACAAGAGTTAAACCACTCCCAACAAACCATTACAGTCTACCAATAACCATTACAGTATTACAATAACCATTACAGTCTAACAATAACCACTACAGTATTACAATAACCACTACAACAGTTAACCTACTCCTAACAAACAATTACAGTCTAACAATAACCATTACAGTATTACAATAACCACTACAGTATTACAATAACCACTACAACAGTTAAACTACTCCTAACAAACAATACAGTCTAACAATAACCAATGAAACAATCAACCACTCCTAACAAACTTACAGTATTACAATAACCACTACAACAACCACTCACAACAAACTTACAGTCTAACAAAAACCACTACAGTCTAACAAAAACCACTACAGTCTAACAATAACCACAACAACAACCACTCCCAACAAACCATTACAGTCTAACAAGAACCATGACAGTATTACAATAACCATTACAGTCTAACAAGAACCATGACAGTATTACAATAACCATTACAGTCTAACAAGAACCATGACAGTATTACAATAACAACAACACACAACTACAGAAGGACAACAATAATCACTAACAACAAGACACCCACCAGACGCACAACTAAAGCCACAACAACCACTCCCAACAACCACTCTACAGTGCTATAACCACCACAGCAAGTAGCACAACTACAACAACAACGACAGCCACCACCAACCCAACCCATCAGCATCATCATCATCAGCAGCACGTGGAAGTGACGTTGGAAGGGCTTTGCTATTAAACCCCCACCCCCCTACACACACACACAGCCGTGTACAGTCGTACACTCACTCACACCAGGGAAGCCAGACTACTACACCACCACCACCACCACGACTTACGTAGAGTGCTGGCGTGTAACACGACACACACACACGTGTAACATCACACTACACACGTGTAACACCACAACACACACGTGGCACACCACACCACACACACACGTGGCACACCACACCACACACACACGTGGCACACCACACACACACACACACGTGTAACACCACTCCACACACACACGCGTGTAACACCACACACACGTGTAACACTACACACGTGTAACAACACACACACACACACACGTGTAACACCACACACGTGTAACACCACACACCACACCACACTACACACGTGTAACACCACACCACACACACACGTATAACACCACACCACACACACACACCACACACACACGTGTCACGCGTGTGAACAAGCAGCAGTAGTTGTAGCAAGCAGTAAGTGAACACGTCTGCGATATACTGTACACACACACACACGATGATGATGATAGCAGCAGCCGCCGTAGCCACCACCACCACCACTTTTCACCGTCGTCTTTATCTTTAATTCCAAGCGACCCACGCTTTGTGCCACCATCACTGCTGGGATTTCAGGACACGGACAAACACTCGCACACTCGCAAACATCTGCCTGCTTGTCGTGCAACAAGAGAAGATGTGGAGGAGGCCGAGATGACTTGCGTTGTCACCGCAGCAGCTACGAACAACGACGCTGGTGGCCACCACCCAACTCCGAGGTGCCATGGGACGGACCACGGCGGTCGTGGTGGCCGCTCTGCTGGCCATGGCCATGGGCCACATTCACAGCGGCGAGGCGTGGGCCACTGGAAAGGGCTTCACCAGGACAAGCGATGGTGATGATCGTGATGTTGGTGATGATGGTGATGATGGTGGTGATGTTCACAAACGCAGCTGTGGACGTGCTGGTTCGTCCGCTGGTACCGGTGGTGGCCGTCTGTATGGTTGGGGTGGTGGTGGTGGTGGCTTTTGGGAGGACCCACACAAGTTTTCAACTTTTCCCGAGCAGCTGAGGGTTCAGTTGCGAGAAGATGCTCGTCGCATGTTCTACGTGGGCTACGACAACTACATGAGCCACGCTTTCCCCGCCGACGAGCTGAATCCCATCGATTGTCGGGGTCGAGGACCTGACGTGGACAACCCGTGAGTCTAATCTTTATCTTTATCTCTCTTTCTTTCTCTCTTAAACTGTTAACTTTTTTTAACATGTTAACGAGGTAAAGGGCCACTGCGCTGTATAGTAGCATCGTATTCATAAGCGATCTGGCTATGGCAAATTATAGCTCGGACGAAGTGGGTTATTATCATCACGTGGAGAAATGTTTATCGGCAGCCGAATTGTCGAAACGCGTGGATGTTGATGATAAATGTGGAGGAGGAAAGTCCACGCGATCATGGGGAGAGAGACACGCAAACTCCACATATACAGCAGGAGTCAGGATTGGGATGGAACCTAAGACCTCCTGTATACCAGGCGAGATATTTAACATCTCATAGCCATCGTGATGTTGATAGAGAGACACACAAACACCACATATACAGCAGGCATCAGGATTGGGATGGAACCTAAGGCCTCCTGTATACCAGGCGAGATATTTAACATCTCATAGCCACCGTGATGATGATGAGAGACACACAAACACCACATATACAGAAGGCATCAGGATTGGGATGGAACCTAAGGCCTCCTGTATACCAGGCGAGATATTTAACATCTCATAGCCATCGTGATGTTGATAGAGAGACACACAAACACCACATATACAGAAGGCATCAGGATTGGGATGGAACCTAAGACCTCCTGTATACCAGGCGAGGTAGTTAACATCTAGCCACCGTGATGATGAGAGACACACAAACTCCAAATATAGAGCAGCAGGCGTTAGGATTGGGATCGAACCCAAGGCCTCCTTGCATACCAGGCGAGATATTTAATATCTCCTAGCCACCGTGATGATGATGAGAGAGAGAGACACGCAAACTCCACATATACAGCAGGCGTTAGGTTTTGGATCGAACCTAATGCCTCCTGTATTCCAGGCGAGGTAGTTAACATCTCCTAGCCACCGTGATGATGATGAGAGAGAGACACAAACTCCACATATACAGCAGGCGTTAGGATTGGGATCGAACCTAAGGCCTCCTGTATACCAGGCGAGGTAGTTAACATCTAGCCACCGCCTGTGGCTTTGCAGAAGTTCAGATAAGTTTGGTTGGAGGAATCTGTGATTGTCGTAATGAGTGGTTGCAAGTTTGAATATTCGTAATCGGAATATTGATATTGTCCTGGAGGAATCCGATGTGCCTATAAGGTTCGAAGGGTTCGAAATCTTGAATAGAGCAAAGTTTAAAGTAAATAACTTTTGAAATGAGACGACGGTGGGGCATCATTCAGATGTGGAGAAGCAGTGGGTTGGAAGCAGAATGATGAACAGTGGTGAGTGTTGTGATTCTGCAGTGTTGATGAGTGAGTGTGATGGTGGTGGTGGTGGTTGGTCACACGCAGTTTAATTGGTGATTAAACACGGCCATGCATAATATCTGGTCAACCCACACGGTTTACCCCGAATTCTTGTACATGGAAATTGAGTTTTGAGGTCCATACGGCGTACAGCCGTTTCAATACGGGCAAAAACACATTTTTGTCTATTTGTTTGTGTTTCTCCCTTGTGATGGGTCTTTGTAGGATGAACCTCGGTCTGAATTGGTCCGTAATAATGTAGGGCAATGATAAGGGGTTGACAGGTATGGTGATGGGTGAGACGAGAAAGCCTGGTAAGGTCTGAGTCCTCTAAATGGATGGATTGAGGGATTGTCAGAGCGAAGTTCATGGAAATAAGTGACCGTGATAGTATCGATAGAAGATACGACAACAGCTGTTGTGAACGTCATGGTGAGTTAGCTATGGATAGTCAATGATCGTCTTAACTATGGTCATTGTTCCATTAACTGTTAATGTCAACTCTACATCATTATTAACTATGAATTGTCAATTATCTCTCATCGTTACGTGTGAATCTTCATCGTGTACCTAGCAACTTTTGAATAATGTTTAACCGAGTCGTTAGTCATTATAATCTAGTAAATCTTGAGTCGTAATTTGTTAACTTGGCTTCGTTAACCTTGCCTGCAGAACCGTCACCACAGTCCAGTATGAACAATACATCCCCTGTATGTCAATTATTAATATATAATTAATCGTTTTGCTATGTTTTGTGAACTAATCTATTCGTGATCAATAATCATGATCTTTGTAATGCAAAATTAATGATGTCACGTGTTGAATTGCAATACAACTACTGTAATGGTGCAGTTAAAACAATTACATTTTTTGAAGCAATACCTTTAAACAAAGTAAAGTAGTTAAAACGCGACAAGACAGAATATCTACAGTAAATATAGTACTTAGCCATCATAGTATCGAAGTTGTAATGTGCTGCCTGCTTTATCTGCACCTGATCTCTTGGAGGGAAAAGGGCATCACAGTCTGAACACATCCACGGTACACTTGGAATAACCCACATCAATAATTCACTAATGCTTGATTAGAATATCTTTGGAGTTGTTAAATACTGTGGGAGGAGGGGGGGGGGCTTAATCATGGTGAGGAGGGTCCAATTGAATATGCAGAATATGCTCAAATCGGTGTGACTGTGTGTCCCATTTAATTAAGTGAATGCCAAATCACAAGCGTGGCTCTATGGAGGCAATTCATGAGCATCAACAAACAACTGGCCCTCTTGATTTGAAAACTACAGAATCTGTTTCCTACAATAATAATAACAACAACAACCTTGCTGTGTAATCAGAACCTCGGGGGCTTGAATAACGTGGTGTAAGTCAGTAATGCAGTGTTAGGCACTAGGAGTTGGTAGTTGGTGTAAAAGTTCGGGGAGATTAATCGATTGCATTTTAATATAATCACTGGAAGACATAGAATGTTTATCTACTTTTTAATCTAATGTGTACAGTAAACCAAGAATTAACTGAATAATATTATTCATTGATTTGGGATAGATTAGTGGAATTCCTGTAATGAATGGAGGAAGGAGGGTGTGGATGTGAAGACCACAGTATAGTGTTCAATTAAACTCTGGAATTAGCCCTTTAATTCAATTATGTCTCGTTTTTTTAATAGACTTTGAATACATTTAAGAACGTGTAAGAGCATTAAAGCAAGAACTCGGCCTCCTCATATACCGCACAATTACCAGGCATGATGAGTTAGTAAACAATGTTGCCTTTTGATGTGAACGGGGGACCCATCGTTTAGATGGAATGCCCGTACCAACAGCTTATTGGAACCCGGTCAAGACTGCTGATGAGACCGAGAACATCGAAGCGGGTCTAGAGTTTCCTTGTTTAAAACTAGTAATATTGGTCCGGAAAGCCAATAGTCTAAATTGAACTCAAAGTGTGCGTTTGTATTTATATGTGGAGACAGAACTGAGTTATCTTTATAAAGTAAATGTTTGTGCTTTGAAGAAAGTGTAATGTTCACAAGATGCCATTGGATTTATTTTAAACATATACTGACAGCAATGCCAGCTTACCTTAAGACCTACAAAACTTGTATTGTTGAACTTGAGCCTGCCCCGTCATTATTTTCAGCAGACAATTATCCAACTCGACTTCCTTATATCAACCATCCTAAGTAAACGTTAGAATCCCGTTCACTTATAGCAATACAGTAGTAGTAAACGAATAATAGTAGCAATACACCACTAAAAAAGTGATTATCAACAGCAAAAGGCGTTACTTTGACCAGAGATAAACAAACACACACACACAGGAGGGCGTGAGACAGAGTGACGAGTGTGGAAGGATCCACAGATGTGTTCGTTTCTCACAAATGAACTTCTTAAAGTCACTAACTTTCGCTGAAACCAACCTTGACTTGTATGTCATGAGTGCGAGTCTGTGCAAAGTCTTCCTTCCTTTACACGTTGTGCTTGACGAGTCAGCTGGATGGAGGGAATGAGACATTTGGAAAGCGGTCAATTAAATGTACAATATTTGAATACAAAATATATAAATAAGCATTTGATTTGAATAACCTTGAGGTGAATTGCCTCAAACAATATGGAAATTAAATAAAACCACATTTGAATGGACATTGCTTAGTTGGCAAAATATTTTACCTGGGTAATCCCATTTGCAAGGGTATCCAGTGTGTTATGTGACCTATTAGGATAATCCAGAGGCAATTTGTCTAAAGAAGAGGGGGCATAGTTATTATGTTCATATGCAAACCATTTTTTTAAATACTTGCATACACACGTTTCTTCTTAACTAGCATTGCACATTAGTTTATTGAAGATGAGTTTGTATTCATTCCTATCAAACAGAACTTTTCGAATCAAAGTGAGTGTGTATTTAAATTCGGTTAGGTGTATTTCACGGGTATGTTGGTAGTGTCAATTAAAAGTGGAATTCAATTTAATTAGCGGGTGTATTATTTAATTACCTAGCTGTGTCAATCTGCTTGGAGTAGTTTGTTTTCTGTTTGGTGCAAGAGGACAAAGCATTCTATTTTTTGTTACTTCCACCCCTTACGCCTAAGCTTTTTCCATCTGTTAATAAGTATGAACTTTGGTTAGTGAAACATTACTTTGTATTGATTGCTGGGTCATTATTTAACACCGGTCTCTCAAATCCCAGACCAGATGCGTCATAACAGCGCACCTCTCGGCATCTACCAAATCTCCATTAAATTACCAAAAATAATAACCCATTACACGCTGCCTGTACCTGATAGTTGGTTAACACAACAACATCCCTTTGTTTACATTTTTGTATACTGTAATACACTCTTGATCTCTCATTGCCCTAAAAAAACGTTATGCATGAGCTTCAGTGGTGCCTTGTGGCACAGCATCACAACAACAAAAACTCCTAAAACTCTGTGTCCAGTAGTTGTCTCGTTTTCACTTCGCCTTGTGAAAGCACGCGCACCGTTGCGCACACTTGTATTCTCTTATTGCTTTTACTGCTCGCGGATGATAGTGAGACGGTCGGGTGGTCACTGAGCTGTTCATTTTTAGCCATTAAACGTTTGTGTTTGCTCTCCAGTTTCAGGTCCTGCCCTTCTAAACAAAACAGCAAAGCATTTTGGGAAGGAGATATTGTTTTGTTGGTTTTTG